CGGGCAGGACGCTGGTCAGGGAGCGCACCCCGCACGGGGCCGCCGCGCCCCGGTCCTTGGTTTTGGTCCTGTGCCCGCCCGGGTCTCAGCGCCGCTCGCGCTCCCTCCAGAACCGTGCAGGGGTTTGTGACCGCTGGGGCTGGGACAGCGCGAGCGGAGCTACTGGTGAAAAGCTCCGGTTTGCTGGGCTCGGAACAGAGTTATAGGTACAATAAACATCATAAAGTCAATTGAAATGAGGGTGGGGTGGAAGACAGTCGGCTCTTGTCATCAGAGTGAGATCTCTGTGAGCTCTGCAATGAGGGAATTTGGGTTTTGCCATTCGAATTACCTGTGGAATTACTCCACTTACAGCAACCAGGTGTCATTAATAGTTAACCAGCAAAGCTCAATACATATCTCTGCGTTCAAAGTCCAATGTAAAGCCCCGCTGGAATTTACCTTTCTGTCATGGAAACTCAGTGCAAGTCGCTGAGCCAGGTGCTTGCACTGAGCTGTCCCTTGGTTTTCCCACCACAGTGATGCTCCAGCAGACGAGGGTCACCGTTCTGCTGCGGTCGTGTTCAGTGCATTAACGTGTTGCTCTCTTCTCTCCTTAAAGCTGACGGAGCTGCTGCAGTGGTACGCAACCACCTTCAGGGACCCCCTGATACTCCAGCCCCCAGAGTGGTTCAAGGCCTTTATATATTGTGAAGCTTTCCTGCAGCTGCCCTTCTTCCCCATCGCAGCCTACGCCTTCCTAAAAGGTTGGTGTAAAGCGAGTTGTAAGAGCAGGTCCTGTGCAGCGCTGCCGCGTAACGCGTGCGTTCTCTGCAGCAGGGGTTGAGGTGGTGGTGAGCAGCGGCAGGGCTGCCCCGTGGAGCGCTGCGCTCTTCTCATGGCAAGTCCTGTCTGAGACAGCAGCACAGGGCAAGGGCTGTGGAAACAGAGGCTGTCACCACAGGCCCTGCAGTCGCTACAGGTCACCTGCAGCTATTTACACGTGACCTGCACCATGGTTTGACATCTGGTGCGCTCCCGAGGGAGGTGTGTTCTGGGTACTCACTCTGGTACTTGAAACGTTTGTGATCACACCATCGTTCTGCGTTTCCACAAAGGTAGATGATTTTCCTGCGTTGTTACACACTCGACATTTTTTCTGCTACCTATTTACTACGACTTGTGCCTTATCCTGTCAGAGGTAGAGCCGTTAACGTTCAGTTGGTTC